ATTTTGTCAAAAACTGAGGCTGAAGAAAAGTTTAATAAAGAGACATTAAACAGTTCCTCTGTGCTTAAGAAGCCCCGTTATGGTACAGTTGATAAGTGGTTCTCCTGTATCCACTTTCTCTTCCAATAATGGAGGTTTCAGCTGGTCGCATTACTTCCCTCCTAAAGATAACATGTCCCAGCATCCCTTGAGGCTAGGTGTGGTTGTAGGACTAGTCTCTGGCCGAAAGATGTGATTAGATGTGATGTGTGCAACTTCCCTGTGTGGCCCTCTCCTTCCTCTTTTCACCTTCTTGAGAGCTGGAATGTGAACTTGATAAGCCATTTTCAGCCACGCAGACAAAAGCAACCCCTTAAGGATGACAGTGGACTGAGATGGAAAGAATCAAAGTTGCTGGGACAGCCATAAACTCTCTTCCTCTGGGTTGTAATATGAGAGAAAAGTATTTTCCGTGTTTTAATCCAGGATTATTTTGGTCTCTTACGGCAGCTATACAAAACTCCTACCTAATATACTAGGATTGTCCAAGAAGTTATTTTATGTCTTAATCTCTTTGCTGTGTTCTAATTTGTTGGCCCTGATGCATAGGCAGATCTGGATACACATTTCAAAGTTAGAGCATAAAATGACATCATACCTGGTAATGGCTGATTTAAGCAGTTTTTATTTTCCCGGGTGGGCCAGAAATTCTAAAGCTTAGCTCAGTCCATTAGGTGTCCAACTCTTGATTTTGGTTCAGGTCATGATCTCATTCAGTTGTGAAATTGAACCCCCCATCAGGCTCTGTGCTGGGCATGGAACCTGCTTATGATTCTCTCTCTCTCTCTCTCTCTCTCTCTCTCTCTCTCTCCCTCTCTCCCTCTCTCTCCCTCTGTCCCTACACCCCCCTCAAAAAAAACAAAAAAAAAACAAAAAAAAAACAACTCAGCCGTCGAGTACAAAGGATGTCACATTGATGTTGGCTCAGCCCCACCAAAAACCCACTAGAAGTCCATATACTATATGCTATTATGGAGTGAATGTTTGTGGCCCTCCAAAACTCATGTGTTGAAATCTTAACCCCCAAAGTGACAGTATGAGGAGGTGGGGGTCTTTGGGGGGTGATTAGGTTATGAGTGTAGAGCCTTCACAAATGAGATTGGTGTCCTTATATAAGAGACCTCAGAGAACTCTCTTGCTCTTTCTACCCTGTGAAGACACAGCAACAAAATGGCCATCTAGGAATCAGGCTCTTACCAGACACTGGATCTGCCAGTACCTTGATCTTGGATTTTCCAGCATCCAGAATTATGAGAAAAATATATTTGTTATTTAAACCACCCAGTATATGGTATTTTTATTATAGCAGCTTGGACAGACTAAGACAGATAGTGTTCTCTGCTTTAGTAAGCTAGCCAACAGTGTCCCCAAAGCAGTTTTATTAAAAGAAAACCAACAGCTCTTAGGCATTCAGTAAAAGCCCAAAGACTCACAACACCACAAAATGAGCATCCCTATCGAGCTATAATGCCTTTGTAGGGCTGAGTCATCACAAAGGACTCTAGTTCTTGCTTCCTGCTGGCCAGTCCCCCTCCAATCACTCAGTCACTAATTGCCCCCAGCCCTGCTCAAAACACACATCTCCAGAGTGGTGTTCCACTGCTGGTTCAAGGACCTCTCACTATTAGGCACAATTTCCTGGAGTCTGCTCACAGTTCTCTGCTCCCAGATGGTCACGGGAGCAAATGTGATCCAGTGCCTTCTCCAAACCCATCCAGATACCCTGCAGAACTTGGGGATTTGGTGGGGGGAGAAACCAGGAAGCTTTGAAGCCTCTGCCCTTATGTGCAATTAATTGCAGGAAGGAAAGTAACTCACATGGATGAATTATGGCTGGAAAAAAGCTAGTAAGTGGCAATGACAACAAGGTTCAACATCTGGCTACAGTAAGGAGTGGTGGGGGCTATGGTAAGCATAAGAGTTCAGGTCTTGTCTGAAACAGGAAGTTATCGTTTCAACCCACCAAGCCCACTATTCAACCAAGTGCTTTCACAGAGAAATGCAGGCCCATTTGGTATGGGTTGTCCGGAATTTCGTGTGAAAGTTCCTGATTTTATTGTCATGATTAGTCCAAATTTAAATAAATTACCACACAAATAACCAAAACAGAACATAAATGGTCTGCTATTCTGCCACCTTTGGTTTATACAGTTTCCAAATCAGGGTGCCCTGTGCCATTGATTTAAGAACAATCAGGAGTTTTATTTGTTTGTTTTGTTTGGTTCGTTGGTTGGTTTTCTTTTATTCCCCACCCCCCAGGAGTTGTTTTATTGTACCCTTCCCATATGGACACATCTCCCTCTTCCAAGGAACCTGAACTGGGGCTGGAAGGGTAGAGCATGATCATTTTCAAGTTAATTTCTACTATTACTGCAGTGAACTGTGCCTTGCTCCAGCCTTACTGCTCTTTCAATTCTTCTCTGATTCCTGTAGCTGTCACCCAAAGGGCCACTTATCACCTGTCTGGAGTCTCCATACTCTGCCAGTAGCATTGTGATTTTACCACCGTGAGATGCAATAGGCCGGCTAGGAAAAAAAAATGTTAACTATTTTACCACTGAAAATTACCACTGGCCCCTGCCAAGAAGACAGCCGCACCAATGTAAAGGTGGAAGGGAATTTAGCTCAGACTGATGACAAGTGATCGGAACAATGAGGCAACAGGACCTGCCAACCTCCCAACTTCTTGCCAGTTGCTGCAAACTGGCTGTGAGTTAGATTATACCTTGTTCCTTCATGGTCCTGGGAGCAGTATTTCTCTTGCCATTGCTCAACCTACCTGTCCTGAAAAGCCTTCACACTGTGGCTGGTTCATCATCCAGAGGCATCTGACTGTCTACAGAGGAAAGAGTTCCTGTTAGTGATGGTAGTGGGTTACTAGGAGCTTGCACATCTTACTGTGAAGAGCTGTAAAACTGGATTTTCACTGTCTAATCTTTTATTTGTTTATTGTCCTACCTCCCATGACACATATACCTCTTCTACCCTTCCATTCCCACTGCCGTCACACATATTTACTAGAATAAAAACTCTACAAAGGCAAGGGGCGCCTGGGTGGCTTAGTCTGTTGAGCATCCAACTCTCGGTTTCAGCTCAGGTCACAATCTCACAACTTGTGAGTTCAAGCCTCGCATCGAGCTCTGTGCTGACAGCTCAGAGCCTGCTTGGGATTCTCTGTCTCCCTCTCTCTCTGCCCCTCCCCCACTCGCACTCTCTCTTGGTCTCTCTCTCTCTCTCAAATGAATACATAAATAAACAGTAAAAAAAAAAAAAAAAAGCTCTCCAAAGGCCAGGACACCTAACTGTACTGTCCCCCGTACCGTATGATTCACACCTAAACAGTACCCAGCATGTGGCAGATACTCAATAAATATTGGCAAAATACTGCTTAAGAAAAAGCTGGTTAAGAATCTTATTTAGGTGAGTTGGTTCAGGCCTGCTCTTTCTTCTAGGTGGGAAGTGACGAGATGCCTCACTGACATTCTTTTAGCACCGAGATTCTCTGAATGCTGAGTCTCACAGGCCTCAGTCAGTAGGAGCCAGCAGCTGCTTTGAGGCAGGAGAAAAGGAAGTTACCAGGCAGATGGGAGGGGTGGGGGGCAGGGGTGGAAAGATGCGTGAGCATCTCAGAAGATGAAGGGAGTCAGTAGTCAGTGCTAATAGGGTATGACAGAGGGGGAGTGTGAAAGGATCATGGCCCTGGAGATGCCTTTTTCCCTAGGACAAAGGGGGCAGTGATGCAGAGCACAGGGTAGCATTCGATTCAGCCAAAGGAATGTCAGTGGAGCCTGGCGTAGATGCCCACAGAGGAGATGGCTCACACAGAAGCCAGAATTAAAATCTGGAAACAAAGAGCCTCCAAGAGGCAGCTGTTTCTGTACTTCCAGGCCTTTGGGGGTTAATCAGACTTTCAAACCCTCAGTGAAGTGAGAGGCAGTGGCAAAGAGCACAGGCCCTTTCATTTTAACAGAGGATCTCTCAAAAGAGACCCCACATCTCTCGTAATCACTGATTCTCTTTGGACTGTAAAAATAGAGCTTTCTGACTGTTCAGACTGCAACTTCCTTGCACCCAAGGAATGGCTCCTTGTCATCCTCAAGAGGCAAAACTGGCTTAAAGCTAGTGCAGTCACCTTCTCACTGGAGGACTGCAGAATCCCTCAATTCCCCGCCCCCAGCCCAACTGCCGTGCAAAGGTGCAGCACAGCTAGGCACACACTGACCCACCTGGGCAGCCACAGCTCTGTGAATCCACAGGTCCAAACCATGTCTCAAACCACATTAAATTATATCTTTGATGAAATTATCTTTAAAAGAAATTTAAGGTGCTCTTTGCTCCCAAGAAAGAAAGCATGGAATTTTCTGGAATAGGAAAGCCCTCAGAATTGACTCACTGTTTCTCTTCCTGTTTAAGAAAAATACTTTGTCACTGGAATCAAATCACTATCTAGCAAATGGGAGGATAAAGAGATTTCTTCCCTTCTTTAATGAGTGTAGATTGGAAGCTGTCATCTGCAAAGACAGACGGGCAAGTATTTCTTAAAGGAGGTCAGAGAAGGGCAGGGGGATGGAGGGCCAGAGAGGAAGTGATATCTGATTCCACTTTCAACAAACCCCATTTCTAATTAGCTTTGTGAATAACCAGCTGATGGGTGGGCCCAACAAAAGAATGATGGCATTTCTTTGCTTTTACAACATCTCAATACCTTGCAGGGGAAAATACAGTACTCTGACTGCAGACTTAGAAATAGCATCTTGCCTGGATTGTGAAGACCACAGCACCACACACATCCCCCAGATTTGCCAAATTCTTAGGCCACGTCTCACTAGGCCAGTCCAGGTATAAGCTCACTCTGGTGGGTTGACAGCATGAAGCTAGACGATACGGAGGAGGATCTGAATAATAATAACTCACCGTTACTGGGTATCAAACCGCCGGTAAGAAATTTCCCCCATCCTCAGGATGCTCGCTTCCCTAAGGAATGAACTGGAGGATAGGATCTCACGCACCTACAGATGCGTTCTTGCAGACAGCACGCAGACTCATCAATTTATGCCCGGCTGAAATGGATTAGATCTCAAACCTGGTAAATGTTGCCTCTTCTGTTCATTGCTGGGCGGGGAAAGGGAGACGAGTTGGAGGTGGGTTCTAGTTTATTTTTTAAAATCATTTAGTATCTTGGTTCTGTGGATTACTGCAACGGCACCCTTCACTCCCTCCCCCCTCCCCCTCCTCGGGGTCTCTTCCAAAGGATCCGGAGGCCAGATTTCTTCCCCCGCGGCTAATCCTGCCTCTTTCCTTCCCAGCAGAGGTCCACAGCCACTGGAGCCAGAGCATCCATGGACGTCGGAGGCAGGCGGGCGCAGCAGGGCTCCCGAGCTGCAGCCTCTCTTTCCCCAGATGCCCTGGAGATTTATTTCATCTTAATTAACCACGAGAGCTATAGCACTGAGGATTGAATTTTTCGAGAGAGCACACGCCCGCTTTTTGTCTGCTTCCCTTCCTCCGGTCCCCACAATGGCATCGAAATAAAAAAAAAAGAAAGAAAGAAAAAGCAACGAACAAGCAGTCTCACCTACACGTGCCGGGGACAAAGTCTGGCGGAGGACCCAGACGGAGTCAGGAAGCCGCCTCCCGGGAGCAGCCATCCGCTGGGAGGCTGGGGACCTGCCTCGGCGTGCGGGTGGGGCCACGGGGCGGGGCCACGGGGCGGGGCCACGGGGCGGGGCCACGGGGCGGGGCCACGGGGCGGGGCCACGGGGCGGGGCCAGGGCTGACCAGTAACTAAAGGCCCCGCTTACCTCCCAGGCTGAGGGCCTTTAGTGCTCCTGGGACTCGGACGCGCCGTGGAGATGGGCCTTTTGGAAAGGGGCAAGAGCTGCTTGGCGGCCGGCTTGCTGAAGGACCAATTGGCAATCGTCACCGGCGGGGCCACGGGTATCGGAAAGGCCATCGCCACCGAGCTCCTGAACCTGGGTACGTGAGCAAGCCCCTGGGCCAGACAACGCAGAGATACCCTGGCATAACCTGGGGTCGGGGTGCCTGGAGCTACTAGGCACCGCTCGGAGACCTGGACTTGCTAAGCAAAGAAGCTGGAGACGTGGGTGAACTTGAAACCAGAGCGGGGGCGGGGGAGGGCAAGAAGAGAGTCCTTCCTAAGAAATTGTGGGGAAACGTTGAGTAATGAAACCATTGTTTGTAAGCTAAAGGGAACAGTTAGAATCAAAGATACATTGCCCGAAGTGGGGAATAAGGACACCTTTGGGAACATGCTATGGAAGTATTTGTAGATGTGTGCTTAAAATTAATCCATCTTATGTATTACCTAATGAAGAAACACGGGAAAACTTCATTTCACTTCACTTCACTTAACTGTTAAAGGTCTTAACACCCAAGAGACTCCCATCATATATAATCTGCCCACAGTTGTTATAATATTTACCCGAACTTGGGGAAAGGGAGGATTTTGTAAGCACATAAACAAGTAAAGAAACCACAAAGGGGAAAATGGACAAGTTTACTTATATGAGAAGATGTAAATCCTCATTGAATGAAAAAACCATGTAAATAAAGTTTAAAGGCATATGAAAAGAATATGCCAAATTTTTATTTCAAATTTTTATTTTCCCTTCTGGGAATAGAGCCTACCTGGTAACAAGCTAAAAGGAAACAAGAGTTCTCCTAACAGTATAATTGATGCTGTGCTGAAAGTTACACATCCATTTTGATAAATTTAATTCTGTTTTAAAGTTAGTCTTGTTTTACCAGGAACCCATGGTGAATCTTTTCAGTGTTTGCTTTGTAAAGCTTTCAGAATGCCCATCAGAATTTCCAAAAGTTGTCTCTATTGGAGATTACTAAATTACAACGTGAACTTGAAAAATAGTTTTCTTTAAGTGCCTTCTTTTGATATGCAGAAGCTCGCTCATCCCATACAACTAAAATAATTGTGGTCACGTGGAGACCCTTCTTACTGTTTACCTTTATAAACTCCATTTATTCCACATGTGTATATTGAATGTGGACTTTGTGCTAGTGTAACGATTATGGTAACAACAGGTCCCTCCTCTGGGGGTGACAGCCAGCGTGTGGGGGAGACTCTTAAGAACAGGTCATTACAATGTAACATGGGCTTAAATACTGTGTTAGGGTGAGGACAGGGGTATAGTAGCATGTAGAAGGGACTACCAGCCTCGGCTTGGTGAGGGAGAGAGAGGAGAGTTATCAATATAGTTGTAATTATCAGTATAGTTTAATTAAAATCTACTGTGTACCTCTGAGAAGTCCAGAGTTGGCAAGGCTTCTTGCTCTATGTGCTCTGAGGCTGCCTTGGCCAGTATTTCTGATACATTTATACATTTGTCTATGAAAAAAGGGAAGCAGTCACTTTAGGAGGAGCTAAGACATCCTCCTAAAGTGGACAGTCCAGGCGACAGTGGACACTAAGGTTCATTTTCACTCAGTAAGGTGACTAGATATTCCAGTATGTCATAGCTTAGAATTTGTACTTCAGGAAAACACTGATGGCAGTGTCAGTATGCCCCTGAATGACTATTCCTCTTATAACTCCCTTTCCATTCAATTCTAATTTCACTTCCAGTGTTACCAATTTTTATTTCTGTGTTGTATTTTCTTTCATCTTTTTGGACCAGCCCTCTTTGAATCATAGGCTTATCACTGGGAGACCCGGACACAACATGACTGTATTTCTTTGCTGTCTGTGTGTGAATTGAAGAAAGCATGCATGGTGCCCAATCATGGCCAGACATTGAAAGAAGTGACATGATTAGTCACTGATCATGATGTGTATCTGTTATTCAATGGTGATTTGTGGATGGAACAGCTTGTATTTTATACAATTACTCACCGTTAATATGTCATGGTAACTGAAGTTTGAACCATGTTGCTGAGGGATTTATGTTGTTCAACTAAGCTTAGACAATTGAAATTCGTGTGTGTTAGAGCTGAGCAAAAGAAGGACTGCCTGTACTGCTATTTCACCTTTTTTGGCCATCACACTGTTGTTCCCACACATTTATTTTTACATAGGTTATAAATCCTACAGTGCATTGTTACCATTTTTACTTTAAACAATCTCCACCTTTTAAAGAGATTTGAATAGGGGTGCCTGGGTGGCTGAGTCAGTTAAGCGTCTGGCTCTTGATTTCAGCTCAGGTCATGAGCTCACGATTCATGGGATCCAAGCCCTTCATCGGGCCCTGCACTCACAGTGCAAAGCCTGCTTGGGATAGTGTCTCTCTCCTCCCCATCAAAATAAATAAATAAACATTAAAAAAAAAAAAAAGTAAAGAGACTTGAATAGAAAGAAGAATAGTCTTTGTATTTACTCACATAATTGGCGTTTCTGGTAATTTAGATTTCCATCTGTATCATTGTCCTTCCATCTGAAAGACTTCCTTTACTCTTTTAAGTAATACAGGTCTGCTTTAATGAACTCTTCCAGCTGTTATATGTGTGAACAGGTCTTCATGTTGTCATCATTTCTGAAAACTGTTTTCACTGGGTCAAGATTTCTGGGTTCCCAAATGCCCACCCTCTGCCCCTCCCCAGTACTTTCAAGCCATTTCCACTGTCTTCTGGCTTGCAATATTTCTGAAAAAGAAGTCTTCTGTCTTCCTTGTCTTTTTGTTCTGTTCTTTTTCTCTGACTGCTTTTAATATTTTTCTCTTTATCACGAATTTGTTTAATTTTGTTGTCAGTGCCGTTTCTGGTTCTGTTTTTATTAATTGACTTTTCTCCTCATTATGGGTTCTATTTATCTGCTTCTTTGCATGACTGGTAAAATTTTTGCTGGATGATAGACATTTGAATTTTACCTTGTTCAATGCTGGTTATTTGTATATTCTTGAGTTTTGTTTTAAGATGCACATGGGGCGCCTGGGTGGCGCAGTTGGTTAAGCATCCGACTTCAGCCAGGTCACGATCTCGCGGTCCGTGAGTTCGAGCCCCGTGTCAGGCTCTGGGCTGATGGCTCAGAGCCTGGAGCCTGTTTCCGATTCTGTGTCTCCCTCTCTCTCTGCCCCTCCCCTGTTCATGCTCTGTCTCTCTCTGTCCCAAAAATAAATAAAAAACGTTGAAAAAAAATTTAAATAAAGAAAAAAAAGATGCACTTAAGTTACTTGGAAACAGTTTGATATCTTAGGAGAGGCTTGTTGTATGTTAAGTGTTGACCTGAATGGCCTTTAACCTAGGGCTAATTTTGCTTCACTACTGAGGCCATACTCTTCTGCGTATTTTTCCCATTGGCCCTTGAAAGGTTTTGCCTGGTGGGAACACTATTCTCAGTGCTGTGTGAATGTCAGGGTGTGTTGTTTCTGCTCCTTTGGGCTGGTTCTTTCCCCAGCCTCAGATAGTTTTTTTCACTCAATGCACTGTTCAGTGCTCAGCTGAATATTTGAGGGAACTCTGCAGATCTCTGGAGTTATTGCTCTGTGACTTATCTTCTCTCTCTGCCCTATGTAACCTAGTTTTGGCCTCTGGGACTCCCATCTTCGTCTCTTCCTGGGCTCTGAATGGTTTCCTCCTCCTCCCTGTGCTGCACTTTGGACACTGTCTCCAGGCGGTAAGCTGGAATGATCATAGTACTCACAGTGTTTGTTTCCACCCTCCGAGATAGCCGCGTCATGGTACCCGTGTCCTGTGCCTGAAAACCATTGTTGTATATACTTTGTCTAGTTCTTCAGTTGTTTCGGTCTGGAGGGTAAACTTGGTTATTGATGCTCCGTCGTAACCAGAAGCAGAAGTCCCGACTCATCTTTCTTTTTTAATCTTTTTTATGGGAACACGTGAAATATTTCCTAAACATTAGTATTTTTTTTTTTTTAATTTAGACAATCAATGGGGCACTTGAGTGGGTCAGTCGGTTAAGTGTCTGACTTCACCTCAGGTCATGATCTCATGGTTCGTGGGTTCAAACCCCACGTCGGGCTCTGTGCTGACAGCTCAGAGCCTGGAGCCTGCTTCTGATTCTGGGTCTCCCTCTCTCTCTGCTCCTTCCCCACTCGTGCTCTGTCTCTCTCAAAAATAAATAAACATTGAAAAAAAGTTAAAAAAAATTTAGACAACCAGTGAAAGCATATTTACTTGTTGTCTGTTTTCTTTTCAGAGTGTAATGTGGTCATTGCATCTCGTAACTTTGATAGATTAAAATCGACTGCAGAAGAACTGAAAGCCAGCCTGCCCCACACCAACCAGGCTCAGGTCACTCCCATAAAATGCAACATTCGCAAAGAAGAGGAGGTAATACAAATATGTCTATATCATTTATTCATTTATTTTAATTTATAGTAGTAGCTTCTAAACCTGTGCTACAGATGTTCCTATGGTAACTGTCTTAGATGAGGTTAACTAAAAGCAGAGCCTATGAAAGAGATTCTTTTGCCAATGATTTACTGAGTGAATTACGTCCAGAGAAGGAGATGGAGAGAAACAAGATCAGGAAGCAAAGAAAGGATGTGGTCTCAGTGAGATTACCTTTTGTGCCCTTTTTGCCCTTTAAGTCATTTCTTTAAAAAAAATTTTTTTTTTAATT